TGATTTGCAAAGTTTGAATGATTCACTGCATAATGCCAAGTCCTTTTGGCTCCTGCGAGATGTCGCTAGCGCGTTGATGAAGTTCAATATAGAGGTCACTAGCGTCGAGCCATGAAACCCAAGATTACTTTCATGAAACCTACGCAGCTAACGGATGGGGCTGCAGACAAAAGTACGCCAAAAGTACATACGTCGTGACCGTGGTCTCCGCTGCTAAGCGACAATCAAAAGGGGCATTGCTCAGCTTGTTTGGCGCACGTGTGACAGCGGCGCGGGGCGCGCCCAACGGCCGCGCCTTCGCTGCGGTTGGCCCACAGCGACCGCACGAACTCTGCGGTTATAACAGCAGCCTACGTCACACACTGCTGGCGCGACTCGAGCTCCTATTGGACAAATTCACGTGGTCTCCGTTGCTAGGCAACAATCTCGTCCATCAGACAGCGTAGGTATGGATGGTGGCAGTGGTTTTGTAGTGCCGGTAACTTTTTTGTCTGCGTTTTAGATCACTTTGTAGCCCCATTAAAAGAAGAAATATCTCACTTTTGTGGTTGCCCGTAGTAAGCGCACGGCAGCCTGGCGTCAGCAGCCTGCGTGCGTTTCTCGGCCTCTCATTGGTCAACAGCACAGTCCTATCTCTTCAACACAGTAGCCACCTAGTGGGCTGTTGGGGAAGCTGTTTTGACAGCAGCGGGCGAACAGAGCTCTGGAATCGTTTTAGCTGACATTTTACATGTTAAGATTACATGAGTGCATACATTTTATAAAAGCTATTTCAAAGTACTGTAGCCATGTGTAACATGCATATGTCTTAGTCAATGACTACTCAGCATGCTGCTTGGTGCTCAATGGTAACAGTTTGATTTGTTTTTGACATCAAATAAGATTTGATTTTTGTTTCTACAGCATTTTAGGCGCAATTTCAAAAAGTTAAAGACCAAATTCAAAACGTTCACATGCATTTCGAATGTAAACTTTTTGAATTTGGTCTTTAAATTTTTGAAATTGCGCCTAAAAAGGTGTAGAATCCAATGTTATTTGTGGCAAATGTTTTCCAAAAATCCTTCATCTAAAGCTTCAACTGAATTCTAAAATGCCTGCATTTTATACCAGAAACATTATTATTGATACCTCCTACAATATTTCATTTTGTCACCAGGTACCTGGACTGGTGAAAAGTGAAAACTGAAATTCATTCATGTCACCATTATCCTATGACCTACCCCTAAATGGAATTGATCTTGTTTCACAAATGAGTTGTACATGGTACAATGTCTATCAGCTGATGTCTATTGTCTATCTCTCTTTCAGCACAGAAGATCCTCAGTCATAGTTAACAAAATGGAAAAAATAGCTGTGTTTTTAAGATTCCAGTCGTGGCCATCAACTGCTCAGGAAAGCAGCCCAGAATCACTTCACAACAGGTATGTTGATGCATGTACATTGACATCAATGTCTGAATGCTGAAGAATTGTTGAACAGGGAACACATTTACCTAGCCTCTAAAAACCACAAATCCTACATTACTTACATAAACATTTTTCTATAGAACTTATATTATCTACTTTCATCTGGCTAAGGCTTTTTTTACATTATATTCCCTCTGTTAAACATGAAAATATGATGAGTTATAGACTAGTATAACAAGCTGGTAATTATATCTGCCTTGTCAGCTTAGCCAACATCTGCATCATGTCTATCTCAAAATATGACTGCTTTCCTGACATTTGCATTTGTTCCACTCACCAATTGACCACTTCTACCATCTGCTTGCTCTATGCACAGACATTGTCATAGGGTCTGTTCCAGTCGCACTTCCTAACACCTCTTAACTCCTTTAAGATTGCTTCCCTGTTCCAGTGGCAGCTTTCGCCCCTACAAAGCCAAGAAGGGCCCTGCTCCAACCTCCTCTATCTTGCCCTTTGAGGAGTTTAGATGTGTTAGGAAGTGCGACTGGAACAGACCCATAGCAAAACAGTTTCATCTCCCTGAGTCTGTACTGCCTTTTTCCAGGTTTCCAAAGGATCATCATTCATCAGCACAGAAGGGTGGGAAAGAGAAGGCTGTTCAAATTCTGAAAAGCCAGAGCTGCAAAGGAGGTCAAAGATGCAGTGCAGTTGGCCCACTCAGTAGAGTTTCACTAGTGGTTCTGATGTGGACTGAAGATTACACGCTGGATTGAAGTGGCCGGTCTGGAGCAGCTGTAGTTCATCATTCTTGCTGATTGTGGACGAGTAAGAGCCCGCGTTGGCCCCGATCGGCGATCGCTGGCCAAAGCCCACCACCAGTTTGGTGATAGGCATTGGCTGTGATATCTAGTGTCGCCTATGTGTGAAAAGGACAAGTTGATAACAAAACCTGTTGCGCCGTGTTATTAACCCGCGCCCGGGTGGCCCTCAGCCAACTTGGTGGGGGGGGGGGGGGGAGGCGTATTCGGCCACACCAGGTTATCTTGGAATGTAACAAAGCTGGAAAGACGCAGTAATATCAATCTATAGATCGCTATTTTTCTTCAGAATCATACAGGTCATTTTCGATCAGGTCATCGCTGAGGTCACTGGAGGTCACGAAAAGTAAAATGATGACGAATTTTGGCCCCCGATTTTGACAACTTCACAAATTGGTTCATAATTCGGGAACCAAAGAAGCTACAGCGCCGCGGAAAAGCGAATTCGATAGCTCTTTTGAAAATCTTTCAGGTTCTCAGATTTGAGCTAAGGTCAACTAGGGTTAAGCCTCCAAAGGGCAAAAACTGAACAATCGGCTTGCTTCGGAAGTCGTCTTTTCTTTTAAAATTTTTAAACTGATACCAACCTTTTATTACGTTGATTTTACCGGCACTGCGTTTCTCTCGTCTTCTTGGCCTAACAAGGTCAGCTTAATAAATTTGACCTCCAACATTTGGCCTCCAACACGGCCTCCAACAGCTGCACCCGGCTGTGGGCACGGACACACCGGCTGCAGCCAGTAACGCTCGCCGCTGTGCTGGAGCCGCCCGCTGGCCACAGCAGCGACGGGGGCCGACAATCGTTCCGCACGGCAACGGAAAGGCCACACGACGGCAACGGGGGTGACTGCTGTGGGGGGATTTTCCGATAAATACGGGAATGGTTGTGAGCTCGGTATTATTTTGTGTGTATTTGACGACGGGTGACCGGTTGATTTTGTGAGTGCGTTGATGGACAGGCGAGAATGATTAGTTGATTTTGTGAGTGCGTTGATGGACAGGCGAGGGTGATTAGTTGATTTTGTGAGTGCGTTGATGGACCGTCGAGTGCCCGTGGCTGACAGCGAGACAGTCCGGCTGCTGGATGTGCTGTGACAGTGTGTCGGTGCTTGTTGTCGGTGTCGGGTGGTGCAGCTGGCGGCGGCCCGCTGCCATACGGGAGCGGTCGGTCGGCAGGCCGCTCGGCGGCTCGTCCAGCCGGTAGTTGGTGTCAGATCTCTGAGGCCGGTGGGTCAGAGCCGGTGAGCCCGGTCAGGGCACGGCCGGAGCACGGCCACGGCCCCGGCGGCGGCACGGCGTGCTTGTCAGTGGGCCGGCCGTGACCTGGCGGTGACCGGTCGGTCTGTCTGCCGACCGGCCAAACTGTACTCAGGTCATCAGGACATTAGCACAAATGTTGAGGTAAGCTCCGAAGGTAGCTGTTTTCCAGGACAAAGACTGGACATGTGTAAAATGTATTAGTCAAAGCGCAGCCGATTATCAGTAGCATGGCCAAGTGATAACTAAAATCTAAAAAGCCGTTCCGCAGTCGGAGTCAAGGCAGCTTGATCGACACGGACTCCGACTCCGACTCCCAGTCGGTCGGTAGCCCAATTACCCCCCTGTACGAAGCAGAGGACACAAAACATGGCGGCGCGCACCCGGGCCGTGACGGCGTGCTTCCGTGAACCGAGTCGGACAGACGCGAGGACACTCGCTATGACCGGTGCCGTCAGAGCTCTACACAATTCAGTAGCATCCAGCTGACTGTATCCGACCGTTGAACAGCCGGCTATATCATACCCAGGGTTACATTATCCACAACACCCGACCGGTAATTACCCACTACATCGCATCACTTCATCCAATTACCCACAATACGCGCCCGGTAACTAATTGCCCTAGGCTACAGATGGTACAGCTGAAGCGTCTCCTCTCGTGTATTTAGTAGACATCTGCCTGACCAATCTGACTGACTGACTGAATAAACTGACTGACCAATCAGCTGACTGATCAATGGTCAGCTGACTGACCAGTGGTCAGCTGACGGACCAATGGTCAGCTGACGGACCAATGGTCAGCTGGCGGACCGGTCACCGCCCCGGGCCGGGTGACGGCCGCCGGCCGGGACCGGAGCGGGCGGGCGCGGCGCGGCCGGCCGCCGTCTGAACTGGCACCGCGTGGATACTGCCAGCTCGGACGGCAGCTAGCCAGTAGTCGAGTAGAGCTGTCCGTGTGGGACGTGTCACAACACGCTCAGCACGGCGCTCAGCACCGCCGAGCCGAGGTGCAGCCAGACCCGGGGGGAGCGGTCACGTGACCGAGCCGTCCGACTCCACCGGGGGAGCGGTCACGTGACCGAGGCCGGCCGTGCCGCCGGGACCAGGCGCGGTGAACCGAGTCGGTCGGTCAGAGACGTGTGTTCTACATACAGAATAGCGTAATGCCACGATCGGTAGTCACTCCAGCACATCACTTTTCACTGTCCAATTACCCACAATACCCGTACAGTAATTGATTACCCACTAGATCATATCCGTCCAGTCAATTACCCACAATACCCGCCGGGTAATTACCCACTACATCACATCCGTGTGCTACTACTACATCTACACTACTACTACTACAACTACATGACTACACTAGAGCGGACACGGGGGCCGTGTGCCGGCTGACCGGCGCCGCTCTCAGTGCCGGCTGGTGCAGCCCACACGGCAGCAGTCAGCTGGCGGCCCCGGCCGACTGGCTCGGCCTCTCTGCAGTCAGCTCATCACTGCACGGTCGGTAGTGCAGCGCATCATTTCCCCCACTTCAACACTCTGACCCCATCGCCTTCCTGGCTCTTCAGCTGATCGTACAGCTCCCCTGTGGACAGAGCAGAGACACGTCTGAGATGGACACCTCACACAGACAGACACACAGACAGCGGTACAGCCATGTCCACACACCGCCGGCCAGTGACGTCACACACAGAACAGACGGCTGACGTGACGTCACCGTCGGCCGTGGTGGCCGTGACGCGTCACGTCACCGTCCGTGACGTGGCCTGCGGCGGTGGTCGAGTGTGTGTGTCTGAGAGGCCGGTGGCGCCGTGCAGCGTCTGTTGTGAGGGACTGACTGGTCAGAGGCGCGGCGCGCGGCGCCCTCTCACCTACCGGGGACAATGAGCTTGATGATACGGGGCTGGCCATCACTGTCAGGGCCCAGGTCCGCCTCCTTCAGGGCGGTCAGCACGGCCCGGCCGGTGTCTGCCGTGCAGTGAAGGCGCAGACACCACAGCTCCTGACACGACTTCACCAGTCTGTAACAGAGCAGAGCAGCAGAGCCGTCACACACAAACACAGCGGCACCAGCCGGCCGGACGTACGAGTCAGTGTTAGTGTGTCAGTATTTCAGTGTCGGTGTGTTGGTGTCAGTGACAATGCGTCAGTGTCAGTGTGTCAGTGTCAGTGTGTCAGTGTCAGTGTGTCAGTGTCAGTGTGTCAGTGTCAGTGTGTCAGTGTCCGTGTGTCAGTGTCAGTGTGTCAGTGTCAGTGTGTCAGTGTCAGTGTGTCAGTGTCAGTGTGTCAGTGTCAGTGTGTCAGTGTCAGTGACACTGTGTCAGTGTCAGTGACAATGTGTCAGTGTCAGTGACAATGTGTCGGTGTCAGTGTGCCAGTGTCAGTGTCAGTTTTAGTGTCAGTGTATCAGTGTCAGTGTGTTAGTGTCAGTGTGTTAGTGTCAGTGTGTCATTATCAGTGTGTCAGTGTCATTGTCAGTGTGTCAGTGTCAGTGTGTCAGTGTCAGTGTCAGTGTGTCGGTGTCAGTGTATCAGTGTCAGTGTGTCAGTGTCAGTGTATCAGTGTCAGTGTGTCAGTGTCAGTGTGTCAGTGTCAGTGTGTCACTGTCAGTGTGTCAGTGTCAGTGTCTGACAGGACAGCCCTCGCCAGTGTCTGCTGACTGACCTGGTGACCGCTGCTGCTGTGAAGGCCGTCTCTGCCGGCCGCTGGAGGTCCCCCAGTATAAGGTACCGCAGCTCGGGGCAGCCGCTGAGAATGTCCAGCACGGCGTCAGGGACGCCGCCGGACAGGGTGAGATACCGCAGCTCAGGGCACCTGGTGAGAGGCTCCAGGCTCACGGCGTCAGGGACGCCGCCGGATAGGGTGAGACTCTCCAGCTCAGGGCACCTGGTGAGGGGCTCCAGGCTGCCGGTCGTGAGATCATGACAGTCTGGAAAACACACAGACATACATACAGACAGGATCAGCCGACTGGGATGCATGTCGATATATGGAAAAAACGAAACAGTTATGAATTCGCATGGTTTTATGGACACAGTAGACGATGATATAACAGTGGTACCTACTATATGATATGCAATCAGTTCAGCCAATGCATTGAAGTGCATTGAACATTGCATTACAATCATTATGTGTATGACGTTCAACTAAGTATGAGGGAATATGTCACTGATTGTCTGAAAAGTCCTCCTCCATTTTTGAGCTCAATTACACTGAAAGAAAAAATGACACCCTGTACGGGGTATTGACGGTCATGTCAAAAATAACACCCGAGTGGGGTGTTTTGAGGGGAGTCGCTAAGCTATTATAAATGGGGTGTTTGGCGTACACCCCAGGAGGGTTTCGACGCATAGTGGGGAGTCGCAGCCGCTAAAGGGGGGTCAGCGCCGGCCCACATGGGGTTTCGTTAGACTGCAGGTGACACCCCTCAAATATCAGCCGAGCACCCCTTTTTGGTCCCTAAGCACCCGACAGGGTGTCAAACTCCCAAATTAGGGTGTAAAATATAGCAGCTTAACTCCCCTATTTTTCTGATATAACTCCCCATATTGTTCCTGACCCCCACGCGGGGAACCGCGCGCCTTCAGCAGGAAATCTCTCAGAGATGTTTCACTCCCCTATACTTCCGAAAAATTTTGTTTGTTTTGTTGGGTTAGGCCCTTTCGGTCGACAAGACCATTGCAGAGCCGGAAGGATGATAGGAATTAGGGGGAGACATTGGTCTGGGCAGGCACCCTAGTGAGTCGCCGGGGCTGAGCCCGTCCAGAGGACAGGCCACCCAGCCCCAAGGCACTCACTGCACCCGGCTACGGGGTGCGCTCCCTCAGGAGCAGCGGTGCCGCTCCAAGGGAGCAGCCCGCATGAGATAAAGTTGCCTGTCCAGCCGGAAGGGGGTTGCGGCGTGGAGGTGAAGAATTACTGTATCCTGAGGATAGAGGCACGGATAGGTCCTCACTTCCGAAAAACTCCCGGCGAGGATTAAATGTCCTTCGGATCTTTGTTTGTTTTGTTTGTTTTGTTGGGTTAGGCCCTTTCGGTCGACAAGACCATTGCAGAGCCGGAAGGATGATAGGATTTAGGGGGAGACATTGGTCTGGGCAGGCACCCTAGTGAGTCGCCGGGGCTGAGCCCGTCCAGAGGACAGGCCACCCAGCCCCAAGACACTCACTGCACCCGGCTACGGGGTGCGCTCCTCGGGAGCAGCGGTGCCGCTCCAAGGGAGCAGCCCGCATGAGATAAAGTTGCCTGTCCAGCCCGGAAGAGGGTTGTGGTGTGGAGGAGAAGGATTTCAGTTTCCTGAGGATAGAAGCACGGATAGGTGACCTTCGGATTTGTTTGTTTGTTTGTTTTGTTGAGTTAGGCCCTTTCGGTCGACAAGACCATTGCAGAGCCGGAAGGATGATAGGAATTAGGGGGAGACATTGGTCTGGGCAGGCACCCTAGTGAGTCGCCGGGGCTGAGCCCGTCCGAAGACAGGCCACCCAGCCCCAAGGCACTCACTGCACCCGGCTACGGGGTGCGCTCCCTCGGGAGCAGCGGTGCCGCTCCAAGGGAGCAGCCCGCATGAGATAAAGTTGCCTGTCCAGCCCGGAAGGGGGTGGCGGTGTGGAGGAGAAGGATTTCAGTATCCTGAGGATAGAAGCATGGAACGGTGTGACCTTCGGATCTTGTTTGTTTTGTTTGTTTTGTTGGGTTAGGCCCTTTCGGTCGACAAGACCATTGCAGAGCCGGAAGGATGATAGGAATTAGGGGGAGACATTGGTCTGGGCAGGCACCCTAGTGAGTCGCCGGGACTGAGCCCGTCCAGAGGACAGGCCACCCAGCCCCAAGGCACTCACTGCACCCGGCTACGGGGTACGCTCCCTCGGGAGCAGCGGAGCCGCTCCAAGGGAGCAGCCCGCATGAGATAAAGTTGCCTGTCCAGCCCGGAGGGGGGTTGCGGCGTGGAGGAGAAGGATTTCTGTTTCCTGAGGATAGAAGCATGGATAGGTGACCTTCGGATCTTTGTTTGTTTTGTTGGGTTAGGCCCTTTCGGTCGACAAGACCATTGCAGAGCCGGAAGGATGATAGGAATTAGGGGGAGACATTGGTCTGGGCAGGCACCCTAGTGAGTCGCCGGGGCTGAGCCCGTCCAGAGGACAGGCCACCCAGCCCCAAGGCACTCACTGCACCCGGCTACGGGGTGCGCTCCCTTGGGAGCAGCGGTGCCGCTCCAAGGGAGCAGCCCGCATGAGATAAAGTTGCCTGTCCAGCCCGGAGGGGGGTTGCGGCGTGGAGGAGAAGGATTTCAGTATCCTGAGGATAGAAGCACGGATAGGTGACCTTCGGATTTTTTTTTTCATTTAGTTGAGTAGGTGCTTCGGCCCTTACAGGCCATTGCGCACCGTGTGTGTTCATATTATATTAGAAGTAGAGAGAGAAAGAGTGAATCAAAATAAGATGACCAGCCTACAATCGATGGAGTAGACCTATTTGAACGAGAAAAGAGAAGAGAAGTTGAAGTAACCCAGGATGATCGTCGCCTAAGACAACGTGTAATGACAATGTGATATCATGTGCTCGACAGTAATCTTGTATGTGTTGACGTTCTGTGATATATTTCCTACAATCTAGCAAGATGTGTTTGATGTCCAATACTACTCTGCATTGATGGCAAGTAGGTCTTGGTTGGTGAGCAAATATAAAGTTATGAGTGAGATGGGTGTGTCCGATGCGCATCCTTGTTAATACTTTTTCTTCTTTTCTGGAATGACGATTTGATGATGACCAATTACGTATGAGTGGCTTAATTCTATGTAATTGTGTAACAGCTCCGTCTATGTCCCAAAGGCGTTGCCAGTAACTGTAGCAATGGTACGTAATGGAGGCACGAATGGAACAGTAGTCATATGGAGTTTCAGTTATGTGTTGCAGTGTTAGGGCCTGCTTGGCAAAGCGGTCTGCTGTCTCATTGCCGCTAATTCCACTATGTCCAGGCACCCATAAAAATCTAATTTCGGCTTCTCTCTCGATGAGTTGTTGATGTATATCCAGTATTTTTAGGTGTATGTGCTGTGTGATATCTGGTCGTTGAAGACTTAATATTGCTGACTTTGAGTCAGAGCAAATACATGCTTTTTGAATATTGTGCTGCTTAATAAGCTGAAGAGCATGGGATATTCCGTACAACTCTGCATAGTGTACGGTTAAATCGTTCTGTAGTCTCAACTTTGTTTCTGGAAGTGTGGAAGCAAAAATGCCGACGCCGACCGTGTTGTTTAACTTGGAGCCGTCCGTAAAAACAAATTGGAAGTGAGGAAAAGCCGCCTGGTACTCGAGAAATGTTTGCTGTATCTCATCTGCAGAAAAGGTGTGTTTTTTATTTGCGAGCAGAAAAGAAGTACTAAGAGGCCGAGCCGTCCAGGGGGATATGAAGAATTGGGGGAGGGGTGTGATGCTGGGTAATACATATCCAATGTCATCCTGGTACTTTTTTACCCTGGAGGCGATGGTGAGTCCCGTTCGTCTTTCGCATCTGCCAAGATAACTAAAGTGCAGCCTTGGCAGAACAGATGTTGATGCATAAGCGGCATGAGCTGGATGTTGTTTGATCTTTGTGTAATATCTGAGTGTAAGTTCTATCCTTCTGATGTGTAGTGGAAGAATGTGTGCCTCAACTTGCAATGAGTGGATGGGTGAGGTTCTCATTGCACCTAACGCTAATCTAATAAAGTTGTTTTGGACTGTCTCTAATTTGAGCAGGTTCGTTCGACTTCCTCCGGCGTAAACGACGGACCCGTACTCTATTATTGGTAAGACTATTGTTTTGTATAGGCGGAGCAGCGTAGATCGGTCGGCACCAGAAGCCGCACCGGTAAGACAGCGAAAAAGATTAAGTCTTTTCTTGCATTTTACTTGTATGTGTTTTATGTGGTGAGTCATAGACAGCCTCCTGTCTAGAACTACTCCTAAAAACTTGAAGCTCGAGACAAGCGGGATAGGCACATCATTGAGCTGTGGATGATGCGTGAGTTCGAGTCTATTGTTTTTTGTGAATATCATAAACGCCGATTTTGGTGCAGAAAATTCTAGGCCATTTGTTCTGGACCAGCGTTCGATTACATTTAGGGCACCCTGCAGCCGCTCCACGCCTATATCAGGGTCCCTAGATGTGCACCAAATAGCGCTATCGTCTGCAAATAAAGAGAAAGAAATATCGGAAGGAATGCCATCAAATAAATCGTCGATCATGATGTTGAATAGCGTTGGTGAGAGGCAACTGCCTTGAGGGAGGCCGTTTTCTAATTCGTGATAAGTAGAAAAAATGGAACGGTGCTTGACTTGAAATCGCCTGTTTTGAGAAAGAAAGTTAAACAAGTAATGTGCCAGATGGCCCTTGATGCCAAGTCTTTGAAGTTTGGACAACAAAGCTGGCTTGTGAACCATATCAAAAGCATTCTTGATATCGAGAAATATTGCTGTGGTGTGTTCCTTATTTTTATATCCTTTTCGAATAGCACTTTCGAGTCGAACTAAATGATCTACTGGAGAATGTTGTTTACGAAAACCGCATTGGTACTTGGAGAGTTTGCTATGCTTTTCGAGGAAGTAAATGAGTCGCTTGGAAACCATTCTTTCTAACAGTTTTCCCAAACAACTACTCATGGCGATCGGACGATAACTATTAGGATCATAGCGAGCCTTTCCTGGTTTCAAGAGAGCGACAATTATACTGTTCTTCCAATCTTCTGGAAATAAGTGGCCAGAGAAGAGGTCATTAAATGTTTGAAGAATATAAAGCCTTGAATGTTCTGAAAGATGGCGAAAAAATGAGTAGTGTAGTTTGTCGGGTCCAACAGACGTGTTCCCGGCTGAGTGTATCGCATCATTGAATTCATGCATTTTGAAAGGAGCATTATACTCTTCGTTGTTTTGAGAATTAAACATAGTAGGGTCAACTTCGAAAAGTTGACGTGCAGTGTTAAGAAAATCAGGACGGTATTTTGCGTTAGAACTGGTATGTGCAATGGTTTCTGCTAGACAATTTACCACATCTTGAGGATCACTAATCGTATCCCCAGTTCCCGGTAGCCTGAGCATAGGGAATGTTGCACTGGAATGTTTTCCGGAGAGGCGACGAACCAAAGTCCAAATCCTACTCAGTGGAGTAGAAGAAGTAAAAGACGAAAGAAAACGTTGCCAGGAGTCTCGCTTTGCTGTTTTAATAACTCTCTTTGCGTTTGCGCGTTCCCGATTTCGTCTTATCAATGCATCATCTGTGCGATGTCGCAGATAGGCGCGAAAAGCTCTTTTCCTTTTAGCTATTGCTTGACGGACAGCAGAGGTCCACCACGGCACAGCTTTACCTGTAGTGGGTGGTTTCGTAAGAGGAATGCATTGTTGTGCAGCTGATATGAGAGTTTCTGTTATATATGAAATTCCATCCTCCGGATGAGCAAAGCGTTCTTGGTGTTGGAACTCGCATAACTCAGTGAATTTGAGCCAGTCTGCTCTGTCCAAATTCCACCGAGGAACGAACGAACCTATTCCAGGAACTGGAAAACAGAATCGAAGAGAAATGGGATAGTGATCACTATCATGTATGTCGCTATCAACAGACCATTCGAACCAAGTGGCCAGGGACGGAGAAGAAATGGTCAAGTCAATGGCAGATTCGGTGTTGTGTGATAAGTGAAAGTGTGTTGGCTGATTGCAGTTTAACGTTACTAATCTATTCATGTCCAAGAAGTCTTCGACTATTTTCCCTCTGTGATCTAATGCCTGTTCATCCCACCATTCTGGACTGTGGGCATTAAAATCACCAAGTAGAAGAAATGGATTCTGAAACTGGTTGATGAGATGGTTAAGCTGTCTAAGAAGATCCGTGTCATCCAGATCCGGAGGAAGGTAAAGACTACAAATATCGATGTTCCTGTCGTTGATATACATGGTACAGGCAACGGCCTGTAAATCTGTTTGGATATCAAGTAAACTGTGTGTGTAATCATTTTGAATGTAAAGCGCCACACCACCGTGTCGGCGCTCTCCATAGAGCTCATCGTGTCTGTATAATGTGTAATTAGAAAGTTGAAAATTATACTGATCGGTTGGTAAAAACCAAGTTTCTTGGAGAGCAATAAGTACCGGAGTAAGTACCGAGAAGAAGTTTTTTATTTCGGCCCACTTAGAAAGCAGGCCACGACAATTCCATTGCAGCATGGTGTGCGGATTCATGATTGTGGACGCGAAGATCTTCCACGGCTGGGCGAGGCCCAGCTCGACGCGCGGTTACGCTCCATCGCCACCCGAACCGGTGGTCGTGGCTGGCGATCTTTGGACTGTTCATTCGTTGATGGGAGGGTTTTGGGCGAGCGCCACTCGATCTCTGGACTTTTATCCAGCCAGTGGAGCGGCTTGCTCCAACAGACTTTGCCTTCTGCGCAATCTCGGGAGAGACAGCTGGCTGGGAGTCAGGAGAGGACGGCATCTGTTCATCAGGGACTTCAGACGTCTGAGTCGTACTCGTGGTGGCGATCGGTTCGGGGCTCAGAGGCCGCAGCAGCTCCAGAGGAGGTAGCGCGGCGATCGGCTCAGTCTGTGTGCTGGAAGAGGTTGTCTGGGTGCTGGCAGCCTTAGCGTAAGTCCTACCGGGTGTTGGTGTTTTGGTTTGGGCTTCCACGCGACGGCGGGCCTCGGGGTAAGAGATGTCGGCTTTGGCTTTGAGTTCACAGATGCTTTTTTCTTTTTTCCAGGTCGGGCACTGAGAGGATGAGACTGTGTGGTCTGGGCTTCCGCAGTTGAGGCACGAGACAGGGGAAGTGCAGGGAGAACCCTCGTGGGGAGCCTCACCACACTTGGGGCAGCGAGCAGTCTGCCGGCAGGAGGAGCTACCGTGTCCAAAGCGTTGACATTTGTAGCAGCGAAGCGGGTTCGGAACAAAGACTCTGACATCCTTCTTTAACCAGCCAATCACGATGCTTTCCGGCAGAGTGGTGAAGTCGAAAGTGAGGACTAACAGACTCGTGTCGCGTCGTTGGCCATCACGGAATGTGGTCAGACGTCGGATGTGGGTCACCCCGTCCCCTCTGAGCTCGGACAGGATCTCGTCTTCGGTCATATGGCGGAGTTCGGGAGCGAAAATAGTTCCTTTGCAAGAGTTCCGAGCGTGGTGGAGCGAAATGGTGACCTTCTTGCCGCAGAAAGAAGTTGTCTTCAGGAGCGCCTTGGTGTGTTTGCGTGAGTTCGTTTTAATGATCAGAGTACCGTTCGCCGGCGCCTCGATGTCTACATCGCATGGACCGCATATGGCGTCTATCTGTTTTTGTGGCCAGAACACGTTGATCTTCCGGAAGGAAACTTCAGTATCGCAAGGCTTAACGACCAGGTAAGAACCGTTCG